AKGWRSTRYWATGATTTTTACTGTTATTGTGTTTTTGTTAATTGATTCTTGTATCGTTGTTTGTTGTGGTTATTGTTGTTGTTGTTATTATTYATTTACACCATGCTTTAATTATACCAAAAATACATATAAACTGACAAAATGTATGAATTTTTTCCACTTTTTCAAAAGTCTCAAGCAAATGCAAATGTTCGCCAGTCGTGAAGTAGTAAATTTGTAAAGACCAAACAATCACAAAATATGGATCACAGACTCTTCTCTCAAAACAGTAGGACATTGCCATCAAACAAAAGACTGCTAGAAATTCTAACCAATCTTTTCATTATGGATTTTCTAATTATYAAGTTAGAAATGCAATAAGTCAAAAATATAATTCGCAAAGGTTCGCAGRAAGGAGTTTCTATAATGAAAAAAGCGCCGCGAAAGCTCAATRTTATCATTGTATAAAAAAACGTTCCGTTTAGTTGAAATAAAATGAAGAAAGATACATTAAAAAGGAAAAGCTTTTAAGGTAAAGGAGTCGCATTATGTGAACAAAGTGAATGGTATTTTTCCGAAGAAAGGAAGTTAAAACTGAAGTACAAGGCTAAAGGCGCAGATGGATTCTTTACAAATGTATATATTTTAGACGTAGAGTCCCCTCTATTCCTAGTGCGCTATGGAATAATACCAGAGCACTGGCAACGAAACGATACTCAAAAAGAATTTAATTAGCATTATTTATCAAATTACTTCAGCTCGTAATCAAAACGTTGGAATATTATTCTGATATTCTGAATCCAAGTGGAATTGCTTCTTCTATACGCCCGTTAAACCCGTGAAACAAGATCTAGTCGAGGTAAAATTACGCAATAGGCAAAACGGGAAACAGTGAGTAGTGAGGTGTGCTAGACTAATATCTATTTCCTGGGTTTAATATTGGTACTTAAACTACGAGATACGTTAATAAACATCTATGTGTCGGTCTGTCACATCAGGAAGATTTATAAACGCAAGCACTAGGACGCTCAAAATGAGACAAATAATACATTATTTTCTGTCAAAGKAAAGATATCAGATGTTTTCGGTTTTTTCATATAGATTGGGTAATTATAGGAATTTTAATTTGAGAACGTTGGCTTCTTGTCAGTGAGCAATTTCTGTTATTACAGCTTTGAAAATGTAGGATGTACCTTAATTCGCGGCCAGTTACTATTTATCAACGCGGTTAAACAAACGAGACAAAACTAGCAGACAAACTWTTTCAAATGTCAGCAAATTCAGCCTCTTTCAGCCTAATGATGTATTTAACAAGAACATGGGACATAGAATGTAACGCTTGCTATGTAAGAGAGAATCCTTTTGTAATTTACCGCGGACTTTCACCTGCGCGGGAGTACTTCCAACGCAAACTCAAYATAATTGCGACAGGAAAATTACTAGTTTTAGCAAATAATATTGATCCTTTTCCATTCAACTTTCCTTTTCCAATTCCGCCGTTGTTTTCTTTTATACTAGGATGTCAGCCTTGTAATGTCGGAAATACTTTTATGAGTCACCTTTGATAGAGTAATTCCAAGCATACAGGGCTTTGATGTTTGCGGTAAAAAATTACTAGTTTTGAAAATATTTATCCTATTCCAAAAGACTTTTTTTAAGAAGTTGCAGTTGTATGATTTCATGAATAGCACGTAAAAATCGTTTTTTTTTATCACCTGCACGCGGGAATTATTCCAAGTCTACATTTGCGAACATAATTACCAGGTTTAATAAAATCTCCTTAATTCTACTTCCAAAGACATTCATCGGTGAATTGCCAATCAATTATACCTTGGTCAGTAATGTTATAACGCTCGTTTTGTCGGAGGTAACTTTTCGAAGTTTTAACGAAGCTTTTAAAAGTTCGATTAGGTTGAACGAACAACTTGCACAAAATCAGGTTGGACAGATTTTAGTAGTTAAACGATATTAATCCTATTTGCTTAGCACCTTCGTATGGAAACAATATAAAACTTTTCGTGTTTGAAAAAGTTTTGAATACACCATTGACTGGAGCTGTTTGTGTTAATGAAAAAAAACTCAGAAACTGAGATTTCTTCGTCAAAGACAATATGCAGCAACGCTCTATAGAACTTAGCTTTATTGGATTTGCATTCATTTTTTTTTTCATTCATTTTTTTTTTCTTATTTTTTGTTTTTGTGTGTCCATTTAAGTAATAACCAAAATCTGTTTTTGTTTATTTTTTTCTGCCAAAAATGTAAATAGTTGTGTCCAAAATTAGATTAAGTACATTATGTATTATGGTATAGAAAGTGCGTGAACTCACTTCCCATCATGCTTTGCATCAGAACAATATGTCGCGCACAGAACATACAAAAACTGAAAGGTCAGTTGACCAGACCTAGTATTTATTATTATCAATTCTAAAGATAGAAATGACTTACACYAATTTGCAACGAAGCGTCTATAGTACAGATGAACTTTTGCTTTGATAATTAGACAGCTAAACAAATATATTTTTGTTATGATCAGTACGATTTTAAAGGAGCTGTGCGTAAGAATGATGGCAATTTGACATAGACTGTCTGAGAAATGTTCAAAATTCAAGGGACAAGTCATATATTTTTGTCGTGTTGTAATATTTTAACCTGAGAGGATGGCTAGGTGAAGCAACTTCAAAAATGGTGAGCTCGCTATAAGTGAAATGGGAGTTGAATTACATTGTGGAACTCAATATTCTATATCTTTTGAGTTCAATATGAATTTCACTGATACAGAAGATGTTTTTCTATTGTTTTTAAGCATTAGATATAGTAAAGGATTTCACAAGAGCTCCACTTATTTTTACATCTTTACATAACCTAAAACAAGCCTAGTAAATGTAATCTTTTTGTTTCACGGCTGTCTCAGACTTTCGAGATCGAGAAGTTATTGAAAACTCTATGTATGGTGAAGTTAAAACCAGCCATGCATATCTTTTTAAGTGTTATGGTAAATCTTCCAGAATTTTCAAGGAATACTCTAAAACTCGGTAAATTGTGTATATATTTTGGGGCTTTCTTTTTAGCAACGGTTTTCACTGGACTGCTTGATTTTAGTGGACTTAAAATGCCATTAAATGGCTTATTTGGAATTAGTTCTCTGCTGGTTTATTAAAGTAAATATATTCTAATTTTACAATGTTGTTTTATGCAATGCATGTGATAACCTTGTTTAAGAGAGCSGTTTTCATAGCTGTCAAAAATAATTAGTAATTGTGTGTAAGGATAATTGATATAATTGTATTTCTACGATGGGTTGCTAGCTCGGCTCTCATTTTTAAAGATCAATTATTTCTTCAAGAGGAAAAACATCGTCTATTCAAAATAAACGACAGATAGAAWTKTTTTTTCTTTTTTTGTTTACAATACCTCACACATAATTGGTCATGGTAACAGAGCGTAAACTATGAATGTATTTTACTTTATCGTTATATGTTTTAATTCGGGATTAACGGTGAAACTAAAGCCTGTTTTTATGGCAAAACCTCTCCAAATCTTTCCTTAAACAATCTGTCGTAAATTCCCTTCTTTCCTGGCGCTTATGCTCAGCAGTACAATCTGTTTTTTTTTTCTGTTCTTGTCATCGAAGGGGGGCTAAATAAACATATCTTGTCATTTTCAGATGATTGGAGTCACGTGGTGTGAAGTCATGTTTCTAGCTGTGTTAGCCATGGTGMTGGTTGGGAAGCATGGAGCAGGTACAAACCTGATTAWCTGGTTTTCAGTTCTTGTTTTTTTTTTTCAAATGACKTCACAGCAGCCATGTTGGTGCTCACCAAACGAAAAAGTTCTCAACAGACTCAACATGGCCGCAATATCTTTTGTTCGTTATTTCTCGAGGGATTCTTTGTTATGTGACAAAAAACACAGAATCATTTTGAATTTATGTTTTCTAGTACTAAGTCGACGTTTGCTTGATTACAGRCATTAGGAMAAGCTTGTTGTTTTCGTTTTATGRAAAATTAGARATATCCCTGCCTAGAGACATGCAATAAAGTTTTTTTTTTGACAATTAGATTAATCAAACGGCCATTTTAGTACCTTCTACTTTTGATGAAAAAGAGGAGAAAACACTGATTCAATATAAACTACTTTCTCTCTACTTTTCTTCCATTCATTTTTACTTTCATTCATTTTCCATCCCCTATCCATTATTCCATTATCCATATATTCAATTTTTTGTCTTTGTAAGTAATGAAAGTTATGTATTATTTTCTTGCACAGTTGAACTGAACCTAAAATTTTTCCAATTCCAAAGCCAAGGAGAAATATGGTTGAAGAATCCACCCAACTTCAGATCTGTCCCAATATCACTGTCAACCTCGGCTGCAACAGACAGCTCAATTTATAACCCTATTTTTGAAGTCAGTTGTCGAATGGCTGGGTTTCGTGGACCAGCTACATCAATGTATACAGGAGAACATCAGAACAAAAAAGAAACATTTCGATTTGCATTTGTTGTGACGAAATGCAGTAGCAAAAAAGAATCATCGTTGTTAAATTGTATAATTTCGGACAGACCACAAACGTCTAGGAGATATAAACTGGAGAGGATTAACTGTGGCTACCCATCAGGTATAGAACACAAAATGTTTGTAGATTARTCGTACTAATTTTCGCGGGTACTTGATTTCTCACTATAATTCTYTCTCTGATATTTTTACTACGAAACCCCGAAAGACTTTTTGCACAAGTATTTTCGTCGCGACATGAGCTGCGATTTTTGTGGCGATTTTATCGCATATATGTTTAAACCGTCTGCAAACTAACTGAATGATTCCACACAAACGTCAAGTTAAAATTGCAGCAAATTGCACTAAAAATTTCGAGCATATTCTAATTTGCTGCGGCGCGCTGCAACTGTTTACACTACGATAAAATCACTGCGAAAGTCGCAGCTAGTGTGGCACGAACAAGTTTCTCGGTAGTATAAACACGCCTTAAAATTGATTTTATTTTTGTACATTTTCATTATATTATTGAATTTATTTTTGAGAGGTTTTCACGCATTACAGAGCCAGGGCTAWTTGGCGTGAAAACCTATCAAACATAAATTCAATAATATAATGAAAATATATTATTTCTAATTTTAGATAAAGTGACGTTAGGTAATTTGACAAATCAATCGAGTTCTTCAAATCATAGCTCGTCTTCTAAAGCTTATGTCCTTGATGAAGATCCCAATAGCTGCTTTTCTACTAAAAAGGTAAGCTATGCCAATCATTGCCTGCTATAGCGACGTAAAACAAAGGTTGCGGAATAATTATCATTTTTGTTCCTTCGTCTGTTTGCTTGTTTTCTTGTTGTGTTTTCTTTTTTTGTGCGAAAACTCTCTTTATTTCATACAGGAAAAAGATCCTTGGCTTGAAGTGAGTCTACAAGAAAGTCCATTATATATTCACACTCTTACTCTATACCTCACAAACTCCACAAAAGATCTAAGTGTAGAAGTGTATGAGAAAGCCTCGTCGCCTACCATCAAATGCCGTGTAACGGAAGTAAAAGCGAARGAACACACTCTCAAATGTRAMACAAGGTTCAARACAAACACTGTGARGATTRGATTGAAGGGCGAAAACCTTCAACTTGGGCTATGCAGAATCGATGTATTTGCTATTAAAGGTATTCATAAAGAGTGTATACACCCTTTTAATAAGTCCCGAGGTATTGTTTTCTCCGCACTTGACGTCAAATTTATTCTTTTGAATTCCTTTTGTATTGTAAAAATTTCAAAAGAATAAATTTGACGTCAAGTGCGGAGAACTCGATACATCGGGACTTATTAAAAGGGTGTATAAATGTCCCTTCTTATGTCTGAGACTCATATCCTGATCAAAATATATCCAAAACTTATAGGAATAATATTTCATCGGACGTCGGATGTGGGTGCTTGGAGAGTTTGCGCATTTGAAAWCGATTCGCGAAGGCAAGGCAATTAACACTTTTCTTTAAAAAAATCTGGGGAAATTCTAACCGTTTTAAAGTTAAAAGGCTTCAAAAAACTATTTCATTTCGATACTGACTTCACGGTTGTAAAGGGAACTGATGCTGTTTCGCGTAGATGTGTGATGTTGGTAGATAATGGATTAATCCTTCTACGGATCTATTCCATGCTACATGTTTGCCTCAAAACTATAACTGATGTGATAGTTGCTCACGGAAACTGGATGTCCCTAATAGTCGCCCAGTCTTCTTACCGAAGACAACTATCACATCATAATGACCCTTTTTTATATATTCAAAAAACAAAATTTTCTGAAGCGGCGGTCTCTGTGAACAAGCAGTAACCCTCGAGGTCGACTCTACACCAATGAGAGTGGACGRAAATCTTGTTTTCACTAACAGTCCGTGTAAATGCTACTCTCCTTCGCAGGCTCTCCTTTTCTTGGGCTTCCTGTCCCTCCCGAAGAGTCTTCTTTTGGGAGGGAAAGGAAGCCCGACAAAAGGGAGGAGAGAGTCTTCTTTTGAGAGGGACAGGAARTCCGACAAAAGGGAGGCTGCAAGGGAGACTATGTAGATGCATGAGATCTGCGAATTATAGAAGACACTGAAAATAGTCTGAAATGTCACGAGTTTTACCTAAATTCCCGTGCATATTTTATACAATTGAGGTTAACACAGGGCGAAACGGATCGCGATTCTCCCTTAGGAACCAGAATTATTTGCTTTTCTTTAGAAAACGAAAAGGAAAAAAGGATCCAAGGGACTTACCTGGATGCTTGGGACGMTGAGCCTAGCGAAAAGGGATCAATTATTAAGTTTGACACGATACTAACAAACCATCCCGACCAACGTCAGTTCTTGCCAYTGTTTGACATCAAGAATGAAAAGACAATATTTCAAGAGACTATGAAACAAGCAGCGTTCGTCATGGTAAGTCGATCAACCTGCGAGAAACGTAAAGAAACGCAAAGACAGCTGAGGAGGATTGACTTTGTGGACAMTTTTCCACTGACTGATAGAGACGTCATATATTTATTGACTGATTAATTATCCATTTGATTGATTGATTGATTGATTGATTGATTGATTGATTGATTGATTGATTGATTGATTGATTGATTGATTGACTTGATTGGCTGTTTGATTGATCGATTGACTGATTGGCTTGCTTGCTTATCTGTTTGGTTGGATTTGATTGTTTGATTAATTGATTGATTGTTTGATTAATTGATTGATTGATTGATTGATTGACTTGCTTGGCTGTTTGATTGATCGATTGATTGATTGATTGACTTGCTTGCTTGGCTGTTTAGTTGGATTTGACTGTTTGATGGCTTGTCAAATGCTATTTTCAGGTATCAAGTGGGGGTACCTACTCCTTTGGCGTGGCTTGTAAATACGATTGTGAAGTGTGGTTCAAAAGAGTTGATGAACATGGCCTCTCTGATCCAGGAACTCAGGAAGAGCTTCTAATAAAATATGGTGCATCGCAGTTTGAAGATAAATATGATGAGTAAGTATCTATCTGAATTCATCCCATATATGTATTTCGTACAATAGTTTTGGTTCTTGCTACTTTATTTGCATGTTGTACAAAAAATGGTTGATAAAGTTATCCACTACAMCCTTATCAACTCTTGTATGGATCTGTCTGTCCACTCTTGTTTTAACCGAYCCMATTTCATTATTTGTATTTTAATCTGGGTGCTGATTTGTAGGAGTTCAGAGCAAAGCAAACAAGTTCAACTCAGCAAATGTCACGTGTACCATCTCAACCTCTATACATACATAGGTGGTACTATTGATAGGGGTTTTACAAAYATGGCCGTAAAATTACCTGGAAAAGACGATTGGTCAGTACATGATGATGCTGTCAAAAAATTATTTTTCTGGACAAGACCAGGTAATCTCAAAAAATACATTTTAAGCAACGTTATTGTCATTAAATTCTAATTATCATTGCCAAGAGCTAGCATTGTTATCATACGGTCAATACAGATACACCAGCTCTAATAAATAAATAAAGTCTTTTATTTTGAGAGGGTAGCACGTAATAGTCTCTAGACTAATAAACTTGTGGCMCTCTATATATTCACTCATACTCACTACCTCAACATTCATTATTTTACTACACGACACTCCTCACAGCTAGTTTTTGACYGAGGGAGGAAAACCAGCGGACCTGGAGAAAAACCCTCGGAGCAAGGAAGAGAACCAGCTTACAAACTCAAATCACATATAGTCCCGGACCGGGAATCGAACCAGGACCAYAGCGGTRATAGACCGGCRTTTTAACCGCTCGGCCATCCTTGCTCCTAACCTTGCGGAGTCCTGTAATGATTAACATCAAATTTACATCATTTTGGACATTTACATCAAATTTACATCAAATTTACATCAAATTTACAACCTTTTAATATTTTCCACGTCTGCGTATCACTGGCACCTCGCTGTTAGAGGCGGACGCGAACTAATAAACAATCGCTATACTTTGAAAATCACATGGTCAAAAATAGCGCGAAAAAAAATACGGCTGTTTATTTTTATGTACTTATATTGTTCAATGTTATTCATAGGGTCAAGAAAACTCCACTTTAAGATATCCAACAATATAAAGACTCAGGTTAATCTTGGTTCAAACTTTACCATAGAAGGTAACTAGAAATTGAAGTCATTTTGACTGCCATCTTGAATTCATTTTGACCGCCATCTTGTATAGGTCTTGTCTCTTAGAGAGAATGGTCAAGAAGGAGTACCAGCGCGCTTAAAAATGAGGCAATTTTGGGGAGATTTGCGAAGGTCTCTTATTTTATATTTTTACGCGAAAATGCTACACGCTGTATTTTTAAAAGTGTAAATTATGTATTGAAAACGAAATCACTGAAGTTTTATCAATTATACTGATGATGAGAATGTTTTGTTTATTTTCTCAGCCGTGTACAAGTTTTGCTGTGAAGGATTTAAGTGTCCTCGTTGTCCTATATCAATCAAGATGCACATATTGGACAAAATCATCCCTGTTAACGACAGCGTAAAAGTCAACTGTAGTATAGAACATAGAATGATATACGAAACGGACGTCGTTGTTCAACCTGCAAACTACACAATACAGGTATGTTATTRCTGTTCATTTGCAATACGCAGATTCATTCTAACAAGGGTTCTGATTGGTCAACCGATTCCTCCTTACGCGAGCTCTGATTGGCTTACTGTATGGACATTGTTCAACCTTAAGGGTTTCAATTGAGTGTTGCTTTATAAGGATACTTAATCAATGTTCAYATATTTCTATTTCAGATAAGTTACTCGTTCGTGGGCGACATTTCCAATTGGGAGGAGAAACRAACTATTAGCAGCCTTCAGGTCATAGGTGAGAAATGATTTCTTCTTCGCGAAAAAAATAATGTTCTTTTAGCCCTTAAATAACAAATAAAATAATGAACACTCGTTGTCTTTCTTTCTTTTCCTCTCCAGCATCGGTGATCTATCGTTGTGCGTTTGATGATGCATCGTGCTTTAAAAAATGGACAGTCATTGTTGAACCCGCTGACAAAAATGTGACGAGAATTCGACGTGCTGTTGTGAAGCGAGATGCTGTCAAAGGTATAGAACTGAGAAATTCAGTCATCTATGATGAAGTAAAAGTCAGTCAATTATTCAGTCAGTCAGTCAGTCAATAGTCTTCTTCGCGGCTCCCTGCGCCATCTTGAATGGTAGCCGTGCCTTTGCATCGAAGCGAGA